AAGACTAAACATCATAGATATAATGAAACCCTCTTGTCAAAAAATTATTTTAGTGACATTTTGGTATTTCTGTAGAACAAATCATGTTTCTCTTGGCGTCCTTCCAACTAGCCATTCACTGTTTATCCATCCACCTATCCATTCATCCAATTATTCACCCATTCAAATACTCGTCCATCCAGGTACCCCCCCAAAATTACCTATAAATGCCTGTTTTGACCCAGCAACAAAGCACAGGTTTTATCTGTTATCTCACTGAAACTTGACATCCTCCCTGAAAGTTAGGTGGTATTATCTCTACAGAAATGAGTAAAATTAATAAGGACATGAGCTGACTGTAACCAGGTAGTTCGCATATAGAAGAGAAGGGGGCCTGCTTTTTGTTGAGCCCATTATTTGCTTGCCACTTGCCCAAATCTTACTGAGTCCTCACAACTACCCAATAGAATGAATGCTTTAATGCCCATTTTAAGATAGAAAAAGGCAGTAAAGAACTAGTAAGTGGCAGAACAATATTCAAAACCCATATCTGCTTTGTTATTGTTCATAGAGTTGATTCCAACTCACAGCAACCCTGTACAGTGTTTCTGAAGAGCAGTTGGTGAGTTTGAACTGCCGACCTTATGGTTCACAGTCCAGTGCTTATCCTGCAGCCTCATAATGTTATAGCAGTTTTAGATTCGAGAGTGTCACAGCAGCTCTGGGCCTGAGAGTGTCACAGAAACTCTTGATCCATCGTCAAAGAAACCAAGGCCACTCGGAGAGGTGAAGCAGAGTTTCAGATTTTATTAAGCCAGCTGGCTCAGAGGAGCTAGCTTCTCCAGATTCTGAGAAACAAATGCAGCATGGGGCAGGCTTATATAGGGTCAGAATTGGGGAGGGGTTAGGTTGCGGATCTGTTTGAAGACAGGAGGGAAACCAGAGGATTGGTTCCATTCAGAAAACTGATTAATATCCAGCTTGTCTCCTGGGCGGAGAGGGCAGTAAATGTCTTTACCTTTTCCTGTTCAACATCAGGACTTACAGATCTACTCTAGTTATGGAATTTCTTCTCTTCCCTCCTCCCCTATTTGACTGTATCCTTGTCCATTCCCCTCTAGGAACTATCTTATCTCTGCTGTGTGCTGATGGTGGGGCTTCTGCCTTGCTCTGTTTCTGTCTTCATTTTCAGATCTCTTGTACTCTGTGTGCAGGCTGAAGTCCTAACAGCAATGGCTGTTTTCCCAGCTGAGGCTCCTATAGTGTTTTTGAACAGTGTTTCAAGAACTCTCAGGTCACCTAGATCCTAATACATCTATAAGTGGGAAGTCAGGGATGGTCACTCAAAAATGACTGGCTGCTTACTGTGTGCCAGGGCCTAGGCCTATGAGGGGCATGACTTAATTCATTCCTCCTAAGCACCTATTATTGAACTGGATCTTCTATCTGCCTGAATAGCTCTTTTCTGGATATCTGTATGACTCACTTCTTCAACTCTTTCAAAGTTTGCTCAAAAATCCTCTTCTCAGTGAGCCCTGACCTGACTATCCCACTCCCCTCTCTTTTTAGGAGCTATTTGGTTGTTGGGTTTTTTTTTTCTTTTATCACAGTTTGTTGTTGTTGTTAGGTGCCATCAAGC